GTAAAAGCATTATCTACTGTTGCAGCTAAAGATAAAGCAGCAGGTTTTTGTCCCATAAATGGCCATCGAGCCCCATCAGTTTCAAAATCAAAGATAGTTTTAGGATCATACATTTGATTGGAATAAGCGTAGAGACAATTAAAATTATTTTTATCATCTGTACTAGTTATTGCGGTGTTGTTGTCTATGTTGTAATTATTTTTACAATAATGCATAGCAAGGTTAAATGAAAAAGGATAATCTGGATTAGGAGTATCTCCAAGACTCAAAACTTTGGTGCTCAGATCAACTGGCCACCTGTATGATTCGTTCTCACAGGCATAAGGAAGCTGTTTACTAGCAACTAGCGTAACTTTCCTTGTAGAATTTTCTACATTTAGTTCAAATGACCAACCACAATATGATTGACACCCGTACATAGTGACATTGAGTACAAACCCATTAGAGGTTTGACTATAGGATTCTATTTTCTTGACCTTTGTAGAATTGGTATAAAAATGTGCGTCGTGCTCGTTGATGTGGATTACATCATCCGTAAAAGAGATTTGGCATACTTCATAGGATAAACCTACAGTAATCCAAGCATGAACCGATGAAATAATGGTTAAAATCAGAAAGGTCAACGTTATGAATGTTTTACTCTGCATTTTTTAACAAATGGATTTGAATATATTGAACGAAAAAAAAATCTGTGTTGAAAAATTATACTTATATATGTTTCGAGATCGACGTAGAATATACTTATTTGAATAATTGATTTTCTTAAATGGTGTTATTCTATTTGAAACTAAACTATATTCCTTTTATTTTAATAATAGGGTAGGATCTCCATACCGCAATCCAAATAGTCTTTGCCCGTATTAATTTTCAGTTTTTTTTTTCTTTTATTTATTAAAATTAGTACATCCTAACATTTTAATTTACATTACGAAAATTCTAATTCAGAGTAAATGTATAGTGAGTAATTTTAAATTTAAATTTAAATTTATCCTGATTCAAAACAATCAATTAGATCTAATTTGATCATCATCCAATATATCTTAAACGAACAATGATTTCTGAATCATCCGAATCGAGAATTAATCCCGGATCATCCGAATTTTTTATTTTAATACGAAACGTACGTAGCACATTTTATAAAGTTTTTGTGTTTTTTTACAAAATATTTATTTTATTTTTATTATATTGTTTTCCTTTATTAGGCTCTTTCTTCAGGTCGTAATATAATAAACGTTCAGTTAAACTACTTGCTATAGAATCCTATTTAAATTTAAAAAAAAAATTTGCTTTCGCTCATTTATGCATATAAATTATTATCAAATAAATAGACAGCGCTCTTTAATTTAAGTCTTCGTGATTTTATCGTCAAACAAGTTTTGTTTTCTATGAGTTAGATTTTTTTTACTTATTGCAGATGAAAGTCGCTAAGATATATTCTTGAAGCAACTACAATATTTTTTTTTAAAAAAAAAAAAAAATACAAAAAATATTTGTAACCGTAACAAGAAAGAATTTACAAATTGATCACTCAAAATTGCTAATCACTCATTTTATGGAACCTTACCAATAGAAAGTGGGAAACTGCTGGAAAAAACAATTTTACTTTTATATGCCAAATATGATTTTCAGGCCGAGATTTACATTAACTTTTTTTTTTTTTTTTTTTTTTAGTTTTCCAGCAGTTATATTGCAAAGGTCTCAAAAAAAAAATTATTTTTTCTATATTTTAAAAATAACTGTCAGATGGTAGCGAGTTCTATATCACTTAATCCTGATAACGAAGCAAATCGATCTACATAATAGAATTAGCAACAAGCAACTTTATATATTCATTGTTGTTTTGTCCCGCTTAATCTCATCTCAAAGCATATTCTTCTTCTAATATCACTGAAATAAGGGATATGGTTATTGTAGTTAAAGTTAACGCATCTCGTCATCCGTTAAATTACAGTCATGTGATATTTCTCTAATCATGCGCCGTGCTGGCGATAAAAAAGATCAAGAATGGGAATTTTGTCCACTTTGAACATTTATATAGCCAAAAAAATTTAATTAGAATTATGATGATGTTCAAATCGAATTGTTATTGAAATACCTTTCATTAAATAGTAATTTTGATCACATCACAAAAATCTTAATTTATAATAAAAAGTTTGACATAAAAAATGTAATTACTTATTCCTGTGATACATGATGTCGTCTATATAAAATATTTCTAATGTTAAATATCAAATTCTGAATCGATACTTTCGTGATAATGAAACATGGTTAAGTATTAACATCAACTTATGGAGTATATCAACCATTCAGAAAAAATAAACACCAAATTTGATATATTATATAAAAAATCTTTATTTTGCGGTTTGCAATATCATGACATGCCACGTAAATATACAAAGTTACAAAATTCATTATATGAATTAGGACTTAGTCCGTGATATATGATGTTTCTATTCTAAGGCTATCTATCACTATATTATTCGAATCTTCAACAAGATCAATGACCTTGTCCTTTTTATTTCTCTCACATTGTTCACCACTTGATTCAGAGTCAAACTTTGCGACTCTAACTGTTTTTGCTATTCGATGTAAGTCATCTGCGAAATCAGACTTTTGAGCACAAATCTCAAACATTTCCTTGAAATTGTTTGCTATACTTCAGTAGAAGAGAAAATATCAATGTCACAACCATTATTATAAATTTGGCATAGGAACGAAAAAAAATGAAAAAAAGTGCATTTGAATGGTATAAAGTTTCTGCAGAAGGTGGAAGTAAAGATGCGCAATGAACATTAGGAAATTCGGTACGGGAACTGATGAAAACAAAGAAGAAGCAATGAAATGGTATTTAAAATATGCAAATAAAAACGCAAAAATAAGATTTTTTTTGAACGACTTCCCTTGTATCTAAAGTTGATAGAATAAATATAATAAATTTTACGTCACATGTTATCACATGATTAAGTTCCCTCAATTCACCGTTAAAAATTTATATTCAAAAAATTTTTAAAAAAAGAGGAAAAATACTTACGTTTCTGAAAGTCGTTCCCCCAAAAAATATACGCTACTACTTAATTATTAGTTTATTCCGCTTATCATGTATCATTTTTGTTATAAAAAGAAAAATATTTCATTTTATTCGCAAAAAAAATGGGTAAACGTCGAGACTTTTCAAAACTATAAAGGTTCATTAAGAAAATCAATTTTTATAAGAGTAAGTGCCAATACAGATTATAGGTATGGTTCCAGGGCGAATATCTGTACTTTGCTTATTTAGTTTTCACACGAACAACACCGCGCTCTTTCACTAACTCTTGGAAATATTTTAATAATATAGGAGTAGAAGGAATAATGACTGATCAAGATATGAAAGATGATGTTGATAATCGTTCAGGAAATTTATTTTATTTTATCTTTATATATAATTAAAATAGATTTTTTTTAATTATAAATGATAATAATATATATTTTTAGGTCGACATGATCATTTAGCTTAACGGGAAAGACCTATATGGGACTTCGGCAATTGAAACACACCATCTTACTTAATAATTTATTATGTTTTAAGATGTGTTTCTAGTCACGTAGGAACAATTTTTCTCCAAAGAATGTCCCAAATCGACTCCCGATGCGTGAGAGTGGAAGTCACATCATTCCTTAGCTTGTGAGCTAGAAGTGTTGGTAAATAACATAGAACCTAATAAAATAATAGCTCAGAAAGTGTGGCGTTAAAGCGCGAGTGCACTGAATCGATCAACGCGATTAGAGGTTAGATATTGAACTCGATTGGAAGCCGTGGTTATGACAGAAGCCAAATCGCATCAAAGCGATAAGGGTGTTGAGAGAATTAAAGGTTACATTTTTTAAATAAAAATATTAACGAGCGTAGTGAGTGTACTACGCCCTGGGGCAGTGAATGCTTTCACTTCTGCATCGTGCAATCTTACTATAGATGCACCTTCCTCATGTTAAGAATCTTTCTCACATGTTATAGAAAACAAGAAAGGTAAAATCAACGTTTTTTTGTTCGTGTTTTAAAAATCTGCTCATAACTCATTAATTTCATACATTTTTAATTTAATTGGTCATTTAGGACGAGTCAACCACAGTTAGGGAATCCTATTTTTTAAGAAAAAGACAGGAAATAGTTTATAATGAAGGATGAAAGTCGAAAAGGAATTATTTGGATTAGGTCATTGTCGGTCAACCGGTCGGTCAGAAGCCTTTGATATCAATCACCGTTTTGACCGGTCATGACCGTGACCATTAGCATCCCTAATTTGGACAAAACGGAAGCTGATAACCATTATGTTTTCAAGGATATAGACATCAACATTTACAATCTTTTAGTGAAAATATAATCAGATGAAGGATGAGTATATAATGGAATCTTCAATGCACAGGACGCGTAATAGAAGATGTTTTGTAAGAGTCCACATCAAATTTTACGTCTGCACAGTATGTTTATTGATTTGATCTTTAGAATTACTTCTTTGCATGCCTGATAATCTGACATACTTAATGACAATAGTTTGATACATTCGTTTGCGATTGACGTTGGGAAACCAAGTGATTTTTTCCCGCTGAATTAGAAGAACTGGACTCAACAAATATAAAGGAAGATCCAGAATTAAATATCGAGTTTACAAGCATCTCACAAAATATTATGATAAGTTGGTTGAAAAAACATGCTTTAAATGCACTGTATAACATGATTAACGTGTTTTTGTACAACTAGTACGGGGAATCAGAGAGCTCATGAAGATGCTGACTTAGTATTTTCAACTTTAATTTGAAACGCTTACATATTCGGTTTATAGATTGTAAGTATAGTACTGAATATTGGATTTTAACAGATAAACAATATAATAACGTGCGAATTTTATCGTGTACTTTATTTATAGAATACGACAATACGAACGTGGTCAGTCAACGGTTGGTCAAAGACCTTTGAACGACCGACTGGTTAACTGACCGATCTTAATTAACCGGTTGACCGACCGGTTAATAATAATATAATTGAGCAGTTTTATCTTAATAGAAATTTTAATTTAGTCAAATATTATAATATTGATTCTTGCTTCAATACTAGTATGGCATTTTTTAAATTATTTAGTAGCGCAACATTATCGCGGAATTCAATTTTTTTTTAAAAATTTAAAAATTTTAAATTATATATAAATAAAATAAATGTTGATTTTGTTAATATAATACAAAGCGTTTTCACTATTTAAAACATGGTTGTTCAGTCTCTAGTTAGTCGGTCAACCAGTCGGTCAGAATCGGTCAGAACTGGCCGGTCAACTGGTAGGTCAAAAGCCTTTGACCGACCAATATCGGTCACAGTTATGACCGGTCATGACCGTGATCATTAGCATCCCGGATTTCTGGGCCTTTGGGCAACAAAAAAAATTCCTTTTCCTCAAAAAATTCTCCTTTTTAGGCAATTCCTATAATGCAATTAGGGATGTAACGGTTGGTCGTGGTCGGTCATCGGTCGGTCACCGGTCGGTCAAAGGCCTTTGACCGACCGACTGGTTAACTGACCGATTTTAACTGACTAGTTGACCGACCGGTTAATACTAATATAATTGAGCAGATTTGGCTTAATAGAAAGTTTTAATTTGGCCAAATATTATAATTTTGATTCTTGCTTTAACAATACTAGCATGTCATCTTTTTAAACTACTTTGTCATTTTTATATAATGGCACAGCATTACCGCGGACTTTAATTTTTTTTTTCAAAATTTCAAAATTTTAATTTATAGATAATTAAATAAAATGTTGATTTTGTTAATTTTAATATATAATGTTTTTACTATTTAAAACATGGTTCAGTTTGACTGACCGATATCAGTCACGGTTATAACTGGGCATGACCGGTCATGATTGTGATCATTAGCATTCCTAATGCCAATAACCGGCCATTATTATATACCTTATTATTATATTTACCTTACACTAACACTAACACTGTTGGCTTGATACCTGTAAACTTAAATGATAAACTTTTAAATCAATCTGTCGAATTAAATACAAGACAATATCACAATCACGCCTATATGAAGACACGACAAAAGGCAATAGTAAATGAATTTAACAATTCCTTTATTGAACTCTTAGTTTATCCTAAATCCTTAACTTGAGTTACTTTTCAACTCAAGGGAAAATACAAGATATTTATATAAAATAAAATACTATAAAATATACAATAATAAATATGATATAAAAGACAAATATAACTATTCTACTAACAATAATATAGTTAACAAGTATAATGATTATAAATAATATTACTAATCTATATAATGTATTATAGATCAATAATAACCACTTTAGCAACTTGGTCTAATTTGTCCACTTCATCAACTTTGTTAATCAATTTGATCATGTGACTAATTAAGACACAGTCACAGATCATGGCTTTGATCCTCCCTTTCTAAATTTTAAACTCCTGCCCAAATATCTATAGCTTCATTAATGAGAGACCAGTAGGTTTGACTTAGGAGAGTGTAAATTTTTCTCAACAATATCTGTCTTAACCATTGAATTTGATCTACACCTAACATTTTATACAGGTAATATATACGAATTAAGGTAGTACTATAATATTTAGTAACAAGTCCTCTTAATTCACTTCATTATACTGGTAAAGAAGTTTCTGTTTCCAAAAGTTTTCTTAAGTAATAAATATTGATTAAAGTAAGGGTCTGATCTTTCATTTAGATAGCTCTTAATAATATTCAATAAATTATTTAGGATTTCTTTTGTAAATCCATTCCAGTTAAATATAAAAGAAAAAAAGTAGTTACTTCAATGGCAAAATCTTATTCAAATCCTTATTAAAAAGTTATTCCATTTTGTAAAGTGGTAAAATGATAAAGAAAAAAATAAAAATAAAAATAAAAATAAATAATAAAGAAAAATATAATTTAAAAAGATGAATCTTTATATCTCTTTAAAAGATTACTATTTACTAGAGTATAAAGTATATGACCATCTAATTCTCTTATCTTATAAGAGTCATTAGTAGATTTGATGAATATAATATGGTCTCTTTCATTTTTAATCCAATTTTTCAGAATGGGTTTTATCTTTTGCAGCTTTGAAATACAAAACCTTATCTTTAATTGCATGTGAAACAGAAATCTTTATATTTTTGTCATGGTACTTCTTTTGTTGATATTACATAACTTGTATTTGTATCTTTGTAACTAGTTATATCAAGGATAAATTGTTAATCAAATGATCAATTCTTTCTTGAATAGTGAAATTCTGATTAATACTAAGATCATTAGGATCACTAGTATTATCAATAGATAATGTTATATTTTGTCCATAAATTAAATAAAAGGATTCAATTTTTGTGGTTAATTGTTTGCTTTAATTCAGTTTCATTAATAACCCTTAGAAATTGTTCAAAAGCAATTTTTTGTCTTTGCTTTTTATATAAGATATCAAGTCAAACTGTATAAATTTTGATTGTCTTTTTAGTTTAGCAATTTCATTTGGATTAAAAGATGTGAGTAATTGATTTAAAGTTATATAAACAAATAAATTATTATATTGATTAAGTTCCATGATGTTTGAGCTACCTATCACAATATAGATACTTTCACTTTCACTTTAAATAACTATTATTTATATTATTTGAATAAATATAGATATAAATCAAAATATTTAAATGTGAGAAATAAAAAGACATTCAGAATTTTCAAGCATATAATAAAGTTGAAAATACAGGTTTTCTTGTTGAACTAAGATTGATTCATTCTATAAAAGATCATTAATTAAATAATTAGGATTCATATCTAGTTGAATTTGTCCAAAGCCAAATCTAATAATACAATAATGTTCAATTATTTCATATAATAAATTTCTTTTGTAAGTCTTGCAATACATATGGATATGATGATTTTCAATATCACAATTGTAATTACATTGTAATTCTCCTTTTGTAATCAGTTGGTTAGCTATAACCTGCTTAATTTTTATATTTTCTTTAAAATATCTTTCAACTTATTTTTAGGATACTGATATCCTTTAGTAATCAAGAATGCATTAGAATATAGTAAAACTAATTCTTCCTCTAATTCAATTTCCTCAAATAATTTTTCAAATAAGGTTTCATAACTTTCAGAGGAAGAAATATACCATTTTATTTCTTTATTTGTATTTTCATTAATTGAAAACATGAAAGCTTCCTTACAAGCATTATTTTATTTATGATCAAAAATTAATTGAGATAATACATCAGCATTAAAATTATTCTTTCCAGGTCTATATTAAATATTAAAATTATAATGTTATAATTTCATAATCTATCTTACACAACATCCTTTAGGAATTTTAGAGATTCTTAACCATTTAAGAGTAGAGTGATAAGTTATAACAGTGAATGGTTTAGAGCTAAAATAATAATGAAAATTTCTGATAACCTAAACTACTGCTAAACATTCTTAATCTGTGATAAGATAATTCTATTTAGCTTATTTATGCTTTTACTTGTATAAGCAATAATATGTTTATTTTTATCATCATCTAATTGAAATAATACTACTCTTAGTCTTACTCCTGAGGCATTGGTATAAAGTGTGAATTCTTTAGTAAAATCTAGGTATTACAAGATGGAAAACGTAATTTACTTTTCTTTTAATTTATCAAAAGATTTTTGTTAGTTTTAGTCCAATCATATAGAGCATTCTTCTTTAATAGCATAGTTATAGATAGCGATTTGAGAGAATCCTTTAACAAATTTATGATAGTATGAGAACAATTCAAGGGCTACTCTTAATTCAGTTAATCCTTGGGAAGCTGGAAGTTCTTTAATTTTTCTAATCTTTTTAGGGTCAAGTTGTAAACCGCTTCTTCCTACAATATGTTTAAGAAATAAAATATTTGGAAGACAAAATTTAATACTTTTTTAATTCAATAAATGTAATTAAAAAAACTTGAAACTATTGTGATTCTTTAGACTTCTATATATTATAAAATAAATACTTTAACATAAAATCAGAAACATTTATTACCTGAAACCAATCAAAGAGAAAGAATGCACAGTATTTACCATTGTTTGCCTAATACTGATAAATTGACTTTATTTTAGTATAAGCAATACTCTCAGATTTCTCAGGTAGCTTTACAATATTATTAATATAAATTTTTAATTAGATATAATCTTGGTCATGTTTGATAATTGTATAAGAAATAGAATTATAAAACCCTATTTTCCTATTTAATAACACCTTTTTTACTTGAAGAGTTCCATATATAATGTAGAAAAATCTCAGAAAAAGGATGCTTATCGTCCAATTTTTTTGATAGTTCTATTTTATTGATTTTCTTAGTACTTTATCAATTAATTAATGTAATATTTATGAAATTGTTATTATTACAGCATATAGTAATATTATTATTAAAATCAAAAAATCAAAAAATTAGCATATAGCATAAAATATACTTCCAATAACAGCTAATAAATATTTGCTATCATGTTCTTCAAATTCCTTATTTATTATTCTAGATGAATTTTCTATCACATACCAACTGGATAATATTCTGTTAATATTTAGATCTGCAGTAAATTTGGCTAACATATTTGATATTATTCTAAAACAAAAATCTGTCTAACCATCAATGAGATGTCGTAATGCTTAAATTGTATTATACTATTGAATAAGGTCAAAGTTTAACTACTTTGTGATTTATATATGGTACTATAATTTTGAATGTGTGATGTACTATTTTTTTATGCTAATAGCAGTATTTGTAAATATTGTGAAATTATGAGAGATTAGGTAGATTCATAAAAGTTTCTAAAAATAATTATTAATAAGTTATAGTACATAAATAATAATGTTAATTTTATCATGTACTAAATAAAATTTACAAATAATAAAATAATATACATTGTAGTAACTAATTTATTATTCTAAGTTTCTGGTAAAATATTCAATTATTTTTTAGTATAAGCAGTTCAGAATTCACTTTTTTATTTTAGCCACATAAAATACTTATATATATAAGAATATTTTAATCTTTTTTTAGGGTTTTTACAATTCTTGATAAATATTTTCCATTATAGTAATTAAAAATGCAAGTTTTAATACTTTAGCTTCAATAGTTCAACTTTTATGTAAATTTATTACAACCAAATTTCGTTTCATTTCAGAATTTTCTTGCCATTTATCCAAAGCCTCTATTATTATATAATGTGATTTTAAAAATATTTGAGTATAAATGTATTAACATTGCAATTTTTAACATATCAGAAAATGTGAAACTCTGATGATACTATATTAAATTAGGCATTCTACTCTAATAGCTAGATTTTTCAATGATTTTCTAATATTTTTAAAATTCATTTTCATCTTTTGTATTAAAAATATTAAGTGTTACATTTAAAAGAGTCTGTGCTTTTCTAGCTATAAAATGAATTGTATCTTGTGAAATTTGAATATGTCAATCCTATTTTAGTATATAAAAACCTATTAATCCATATTTAGTGACTAATTGATCCTGATTTCTCTTTGAAATTTGATTTCTAATCTCTGCAACAGATTTATTTATTTGCTCTTAAAAATGTACATTCTTCACATAATTATAGTTTAGATTAGTATATTGACATTTATAATATTACATGTTCAACTTCTATGGTTGGCTCTATACCTTTTCACATCAGCTAAGTCATTTCCCTTTAGTAGATCTGCAGAAATACACTCAATACCACCTATTACTTATATATTATCATATAAAGTTTGCATAATAAGACCATTTTCTAAGGACTTTATATTTTAAATTACTGGTTTAATAAAGTCATTAAAATCTACCCCAAATGGGACAAATCCTATTAAGAAATAATTCTTTAATTGTTTACTAAGATTTGATAACATATTTCCTATTTGCAAATATACTCTCTTAAAGAATGATATACATTTCTATAAGTGCCAAAATCATTAATATATATTTCAAGAAATATTTTTAAGATAGGTAGATTTTGTTATGATTATATAAGTGTAATATATTCACATGATAATTTATGTCTTATTACTATTCCATAATATTTTTACTAAATATCAAAATGATATACAATTTTTTAAACATAATAATTGTATTCATCAGATTTTGACATGTCATATAATCAAACTACAATGTGGTATTCAATATTTTCTGGATTAATCAATTTTACTGTATTTTTAACTAAGTATAACTTCTTATTATTTTTATGAATATATAGATTATTATTAGAATAGCAATTTGAAAGACCTTTATATGAAAGGAATGAATCAACTTTTAATTTAAGTATATTATTATCTGTTTTATCAATTATTATACTTTGTACTTGATATATAAAGGTAGATAATTAATGATTATATAACAAAAATCTCCCACTCTATAGTATTCTAAGTAAAATAATATTATATTATTATTTGATTAATCTTTCTATATATATATTTAATAAAAAATTATAAATCTTCATCTTTATTCCTAACTTTAACTTCTCTAAATAGTGATGAATTCTGCTAAAGTTCACTATATCAGAACTTTCATTTTTTACTTGTTACTATTTCAGGATCAAAGTAAACTTTAGAAAGTGAGATAGATTTTTAAAATACATTCTAAATATGTTAATAGAGAAATTGTAAATGCTTTTCTTGTAGATGCATATATTAATAATGCTTTATGCATACTAAAAGGTATATCATGTTTATGTATTTTGGCTAACAGTAATCTATCTTTCTAATATTTGTGGTAATATCTTCCTTTTGATACTTAAGATATTTGAGAATTTTAGCAAGATCTTTATATGTAGAGGTTGTTATAAAAAATTGAAGAATATGTTAACTGAATATATTATTTATATTAAATGATAGTATTTATAAAGACATTACTTATATATCATATACTTGATAATCTAAATATAGATCATTGTTAATGTGAAATTTAAAAAGTATGTACTATATTTATCAATAAATCTCTTAAAATTAAAAGCTAAATCTTTCAATATATCAATTTCAAACTCTTTAGATTTATCATCATCTAAATTATCCTTGCTTTTATCATTATCTAATAATACTAAATAGTTAATTTTCTCACGTTCATTATTATCTAATATTGTTGAATTATCAATCAGATTTTTCAGATTTGTTATCATCTATCAAATCATTAATCTCAGTTTTTCATATTCATAATTATCTAATAGTACTGAATTATTAATTCCAGATTTCTGTATTTATTATCATTTAATAGTGTTGAATTGTCAATCTCAGATTTTTCAGATTTGTTATCATCTACTGAATCATTAATCCAGGATTTTTCACATTCATCATTTTCAACATCTACCAAATCTTCAACATTTTTATTTACTAAAAACTTCATAGTCAGATATTTGCTGCTAATGTATTTTATAATGAAATAAAAATTATATATTATTATTATATATAATTATATATTGATAACTAATACAATTACACAGCATATTTATATAATATTATATTACCTTTGGTCTAAGTTTTCAAAAAACTTGGTCAACATCATTTATTTTCCTGTATTCTAAAATATTATCAGATATAGGAGACCTCTCTTCAGATAATATTTTTTTAAATATAATATGTAATTTTAGTAATAATATATATACACTGTTAACCTTACGTTCAGCCCGTCAAACTTAGGATAACTATGACTTAGTAATAGGGTGTAACATATGAGAAATTACTAAGTTACTGTAGAATAAGTCCTATCTCAATCAACCTTAGGTTTATGCTTTTAGACAAGTAAATAACTTTAACAACTTGTAAATATGATAAACACAATTAACACGTTGAAGGATTTTTAATATCTGTAGTTTAATAGAGATTTCTTTATTGTAGAGATTTGTACCCTTAGAAATCCTTAACCTTGGATTCTAAGTCTTGAACTCGAACTATTGAATTTATACTGTTATCTTTGTCCTTTTACAAGGACAAGTTTCCATTCTATTTATACAAAAATATAATTATAAGAATTTACTATCTAATACTAAACTATTTTATAACGCTAAGATAAATATAAAAGATAAATTATAATTTAATGATAATACTAATATAATAAATAAAATATAAGAATAAAATAAATAAAATAAAAATGTTAATTAATTTAAAAATGCTAATGATGTTAATAACATTGATCATTCGTCAATTTTTATAGCACAGTAAGATTGACTTCATATGGTATCAACACAGATGATTCAATTTAAATGTTTCATTTTTTTTAATTACAAAAAGAAAAATAAAATATAATCATTTTTTTAATTACAAAAAAATAAAAGTATAATCAAAAATACAAATCATTTTTTAATTACAAAATAAAAAAAATATATAATCAAAAATATATTATTTTTTTAATTATAAAACAAAAAAAAATTATGTAAACTCTATTTTTATAATTACATATATACATATTATATTTGATTATATAAAAATTAACTTTATTAGTAAATAAATTTATACTATAAATTAATCTATAAATTAAAATAACTTTATTAATTTATGTCTATTGTGTCAGTATAATATAATTAGATTAACAAAATGTTAAATAAACAAACTTAATCAGATTAATAAATTAATATGAATTCAATAATGATATCATTAATCTTTAATTTCATATTAGAAAAATTAATAATTGTAGGTAAAATATTATGATTTAATGATATAAGTTTTTAGTAATTACTTATATTTTTTTATTTTTTATTTATTTACTATTTTTTTCATATAAGCTTTTTATTTTATTTGTAATAAAGATGCTTAAGTGAAAATTTAGTAAGTAAAATAAAAAAAATATATAAAATTCTGTTTATTTGTTTTAATATATTTTTATTAATAAAATAAGTCATTCTAAAAGAATTATATATTAAAAGTATATTACATAAATTCACTAATATTTGTTTTTACAAAAATGTCAAAAATTTTAAATTTTACTCATATTATTTTTCTAGATTCTTCAAGTAATAAAACTATAACAAAAACTGCTTTCGTCAAGATAACACAAAGGTCAGCTCAAAAGAAGAGAACTTAGTAGGAGAATGTAATAGATTTAAAAGCTGATTCTAATCTGATAAAGATATCACAAAAAATAACTCAAAAGAAAAAGCCCAAAAGAATACTACAGTATTAGAGAATTCAATTTCAATTCCACAAAATCATCATCAAAGATGATATGAAAATTAAAAAAAGACATCTAGCTACCAGAAGGTTCAAATGATAATATAAATATGAGTCTATTTCAACATGCACAGAAAGGTTTAAATAATATTATTTTTATGAGTCCAGTTCCTGCAGAAGAATCATCAGAAGATTCTTTGTTTAATAAAAGTGAAATTTAATAGGTATCATTAGAATATATTATGATAGATAATAAAACTTATAATCAACAGGCGACTGCTTTTATAGGATTTTTAAAATCTTTTGTAATATTGCTACCTTCTAGTTAAATGCAATCTTCGCAAGAAAATTTTTATGTATAAGAATTGTTTCAAGTAAAATCTGCAGAAATATCAAAAAAAATAAAGAATATTGATATTGAGAATAATTTATAATTTATAAACATGTCAAATGAATTTGAAATTACTTGTTAGCTGGCCTATCATAAAAGCATCCTTAAATTGGCAACAAACATTCAAAATAGAATAATGACAGGTATTGATGGAGAAATTTCAATATCTACTAACTCATCATTAAATAGTATCTTAACATAATATTCTTTTAAACTTACTTCAGAAATCGATTAAGTAAAATATTTTATTGCATAAAATCATATAAAGTTATATTTGTTAATATTATATTTCAAAATTAGTATATTATATATCAATTATAAGAAGAATGCAAAGCACTCTTTCTTAGAAAATGAAATAATACAACAGAATTATATGAAGAACTTATTATTCAAATATGTAAAATCAGCAAAACTGACTCAAAATTAGAAAGTTTAGCTAAAGATATTGCTGGATGGTTTAACACTTACTAATACAAATTACATATATCAGTTATAAAACTTGTGAATGAGTTCAAAATAATACATGCAAGTTTATATTTAATATATTATTGAGTAATTGCCTTTTTTATAGACTTAATTAATTATTAATAAATTTTAATAAAATAGGGCAAAAGAGTAATATAATGAATTAATAAAATTTATTACTAATGATTCATTATGATAAGCACTTCATTTGTATTTAAAGGTAACTGATTTAATAAAGTTAAGAAAAGATGATACAATTATCACAAATTTTGATGCATTTATTCATCAAGCTATCAAAAATATCCTTAATACTCAAAATAATAATAAAGACACTCGAGCTATTATTAAGAAATGTGATAAATGTACAATTAACTTAAAATTTTAATTAAACTTAGAATAGTAAATTATAACTAGTATATGAATTTTTAATATATTAAAGTATGTAATATTATATCAGTTTCAGAAAAGTAATATAGGAAATTAGTTATATAAACTGATCATCAGCAGATAAGTAAATTAATCATCATTATTTTACAATGATGATCCTTAAAAGAAACTAATTTTTAAGGTTAAGTAATTCATTATCTTAATTATAGATGGCTATTCAGTTCATATAAATCTTTTATAAATTTAATATACAAAAAAAAATTTCAGACTCATTAAGCTTTTTTATTTTTTTTAAAAAATAAGAGTTCGAAGCTATAGTATTATTTTGTAATAATACTTACTTTTTTTCAGATGGTTTAGTTTTTCATCTTTTATATAGCAATTTAATCATAGTAAAATATTACAAAATTACATCTATCGAATCATTGAATATTTAAAAATTATAATAATATTTATAAAAGATTACAATTGTATTTCTATAAGAGTGTTAATATATTAAAATATATTTCTAAAATATTTGTTATTTTTTTTTAATTATTGGTATTATTTATTAAAATGAAATTTAAACTCAACTTTTAGCATATTCAAAAAATATTATAAATACATTTTAAATATGTTTTAAACATCTTATATTTTTATTGCATATACTGAAATATTTTGACTACATATTTAATATATATCTGTTATCTATTATTATCTGTCAGTCATATGTTTTTCACATTTTTCAAATTTGACATATTTCAGTAAAATACATTTATAAGTTAATGCTAAAGTTACAGTAGCGGTCATAAGTATCCGACCATCCGAGATCGTCCAAAATTATTATATAACTACCCCTTAAATTTTCCAGAAATATAATATAATACAATACATGATCACCTGTAAATTT